GCCAGGAATCTTTATCAGGGTATCTAGCCCACATGCCTCGGTCATTCCTATGACTCCTTTGAAATAATAGCTCCAAGCTTCACTTTCTCTTCTATCTTCTGGAGTTTTCTATCAGTTAAAATGCCAGATACGACTGAATGTTAAGTGGATTGCGAGTTTTTACATTTAACAGATCTTGTTAATTCTTTAATAAAGAGTATGTGAATTTAAGTGTTCATAAAAGGCCCGAGCTTGTCAATCGGCCTTAATTCGGCAGTGGAATTGAGGAGGTTTTTCTGGAGGTCTTTTGGAGGCTTTTCTGTGTACACGTCTCAATCTGATTTAAGAAAATACAGTATTTTTCCCTTTAATAAGCTACAGCATAGCCTAGCTGAACATGCATTTTTTTTTACAGCCTATAGCAAATTGTTTTTCTTGGTACATTCTTGTCTTTCTGCCCTTTACAATGTGAGTAATACTGGCAAAGTTCACCCAACATTCAAATTTAGTAGTCTGCATTTAGAGATGATGTTTGAGAGGAGGAAAATGTAAATAACAGAGCTGACTATGTGGGCTTAAACCTACTTAAGTCACAGAACACTTCAGTTGGTTTAATAGAGTTTATAAAACAGATAGGAAAGGCAAAACCCACTTAACATGTTCAACAAAATGCAGGCTTAAATTTCTCACTGAATCATTTTATATTTTTATCAGCAAAAATGTTTTTGTCCCAAATCAAAATTTCATTAGTATGTCTTCACTTTCAAACATTTAAAATCAGAGGGGTTAGCTATCAGTGATACAAAAGCGAGGTTTTTTTTTTTTCCCCCCGTTTTTTTCTTTAAAATATGCTGAAATTGTGCAGAAAACTGCTAAAAGATCTGTGTGGAAAAAATGAGTGTTTTTTGACCGAGTCCAATTTAAGCTTTGGTTTGATCTGTATTTAAAGTCACTGTGAATCTAGTTTAGATCTTCTTTCACTGCTATATACGAATCTTCCTCGGTGGCCTACCAGTATAACTTGACCATATTGAGGAGCTCCTCATTTCGAATGGAAAAAATTACAGATTACGCTATGTACTGATATTACTTTACCTACCTGATCTATGATCTATGATCATGTAGGCCCCATGATTCAGGTTTCTGTCTGAAATGACTGGGAAACCGACAAGCTAATACAGGCTCAACTGGGATTCTTCTGATGCAGATGGTTTCCCATCTACTGGTAACTGCACTAAGACAAACTTATTTTGCACTAGACTATAATTAACATGTCGGGTATTAACTTGCGAGTTTCATTTTTGATTTCGTTTGCTGTACTCACTGTATAGAATCAGTTGTAGTGTGAAGTTTAGTCAAGGAGAAACTCAGGAGGCAGATATTAGATTTCTAATTTGCAACAGGAAAGACAAGCACTTGATGTTTTACGTAGATTGATTTGGTTTTTTAAGGCAGAAATATTTTCATAGGGTAAATAGTCAAATATGTAGGTTAGAAGCTTGACCATTCTCTACTAAGAATAAGCTGTTTCTGCCATGTTCAGCTCTTCTAATAATTGGTAATATGCATCCCCAGTTTTTAGAGATATTTTGGAATGTGAATTGGGACACAGGTTATATTTTTTTTCTCATTTTACTTTGTAACGATACATAATTTCTGTCCTTCTAGGTCCAGGGTTTTTTTTACATATTTTTAGTAGGCTTTTATATTTTCCTGGTTTATTCTTTATTATCTTAGTGATACAATAGTAAGATGCAAAAGCTGTGTATGAGGGGAAGGGAAGGAAAAGAAGGCAGGTTAACCTTACTGCTTTTAAAACAAACTATCATCTTCTGTAAAGGTATTCTAGGACACAAAACCTCACACTGATAGGAAGAAATACAAACAAGCTTTCTGTACCATCCAACACCTACTTTATTTTAGCTTTTATTGAAAAGAACCACCAAATGGTGTTTTACTCTGAGTAGTTACCTTAGACGTTTAAAAGAAAGTCTTCAACAAAAAAAATTATTTTGCTTTTTTAAAAATACACGTTACTGTGACAGGTAGTCACCTACCCATTGCTAAAAACGCCTACAGTTTCCTAAAATAATGACAAAAGGTTTTCAGCATTGTAACTATTAAAGCACAGAGAGTCAAAACCAGAAAATATCATGTGGTTTACTCATTGCATCAGGTAGTTACTACCATTCAGCATTCATGAAGGCAATAAAAAAAAAAAAAGACGACAACAAGCAGACATTGGGTTTTACCAATTTTATTTCTAGACTTTAGTTTTTTTGCTGGAAACTTGTCTGTTACAGGTCTGTTGGTGAAAATGTGCATTTCAGACCAGTGATGCCAATAAGTACAATATAAAAATGTACAAATCTGAATTGCTTGCTTACTACAGATTGTTCTAATAATGTGACAAATAAAGCATCTCTGTTGGCACATGAACCCACTTAATCTGGATTTGGCCTTTTAGTACATACAATATTTTAAAGAAATTTGCAGTACACACTGCCATTCAGTGTAATGCATAATATAACAAGCACTAACTCAGTAATCATGTTTGGTTCAGAGACACAGAGATGCCACAAACAGAAGTGTTTTATGAGGTAAGCAGTAAGAAATGTTCCTGAAATTGGACAGAATGTATCCAGTCCTCCTGGGTCCTGCGACTGCTAGTAGCATTGCAATGCTTTATTTATGCACTATGTAGGATCTTAACTGCATTTGCCTCAAAATGAGTTCTAATTCTGTTTTGGTTTAGCAGCATACAGGCAACAGCTAGATTATTCTTCAGCATACAACTCTGTTAGCTGGCTTATTTATGAGATTTACAGGCTTTTTAAATTAGCATTATGCTATAATTAAAAAAAAAAAAACCAAACAAACAAAAAACTAGTATATCATAACAGATTAAACACACAAAATACTTAGAGTTCCAGAAAAATAACCTATCATACCAAATGATGTGTCCCAACTGATGGGAAACCACATCAGGTGGCATACAAGAGTTATATTATAATGCACCTTTCATATATCAATGTGGCTAATAACACAGCTTAAAACTACTATGATAATAAACCCCAGATCAGACAAAGAATCCAGCTTTATAAATGCATAACAACAAAAAAAACTGACATTACTTGATCTTCTGAAATGTCTGCTGTTTTTAAATTAATGCAACCTAGTTGCAAATCGCGAGACCCATTCAGAATAACGTTCGATGCATTTCCATTTGCAGTAGAACTATGAGGCACTGTGTACGAACATTAAAACCTGGTCTAGACACGGTTAACTGAAGTATGAGGTATTGTGAAACAGGAACCTTTTTGGAATAGAGCAGTAATCACATTAAGTAAAAATTGATCACATAAAAAATCTACAAAAAAATGATGTCAATAATATAATTTTCTATGAGAAAATTAAAACCTATAACATGGCAGTATATGACATTGTATAACAAAAAAAAAAAAAACTGATCCACAAAATAGCAGCAAAACACAATGACAAAGATACAGAAAAGCAATGTTAATTTTTTTTCAAACCATGCTGGGAATTTATCCATAGCAGCTCAATAAAAATGGAGCATCCACTCCTTTTCATTTCTCTTTTTCTTTTTTTTTTTAATTTTAATTTTTTTTTCTTTTTTCTCTTTTTTGTTGTTTTTTTTTTTGATGTTTTGTTTTTTTACAATCAACACCTTAGCGGCAGTTTTCTCACATACATTTCACCATCACATTCTCCTCGAGCGTCAACTTCAACAGCTATGTCCATGTCCCTTCAGCTACTTTCTAAAATAATAATAAAAAGATACATAGCCAAGATGTGCAAATTTTCTATTTGTAGCTAAATAAAAAAAATGGGGCATATACTGGAATAAGAACTTCTTTCAAGTACTCCAATTTTCATATCTATTAACTATGGCGTTTTCATGGTTAGACTGATTTTGAAAAATGTATAGGAAGGGGCCAAATAGACTGCTTTGTTTTGGGTTTGTTCTTTGAAGCGTGTCCTTTTTTCTTTATTAAGCTGTGTTAAAACTGCAACATCAAGGGTAGAAAGATTTTTTTTAAAAAGGGGCGATTGCATTATTTTACAAATCATACTGGCCTTACGAACATCCTCTGCAATAAATATTCTTTTTAGCCTTAACTATAAATTATATATTTTAGTGTTTAAAAACCTTCAGTTGTAAAACATCTAGCGACAATCCTATATGTGTCCTATACGTGTCCTATATGTGAACCTTTAAGGCCCCTAATTTATAAAGATGAGTTGGCACCAAAGGATTTCTAAACTTCAACTTTTCTATAGAAAAGGATAGGAAGATATCCTGGCAATTTGTGAATGCAATTTCTCTCACTGGAACACAACCTTCGAAAAAAAAAAAATATCACCTCTCCTCTAACACCATAGTTAAATGCACTTGCTTTGCAATTCCAAGTTTGCGAACAAGCACTTATATATTTCCAAACCATTCCATTAAAAAAAAATTCCCACACAATAAAAGAATGTATTTCCTATATCTAATGGACTGAAAGTGCTTTGAATGGAATGGTTTTAGAATATTACAAACAAACAACAAAAAAAAAAAGACTAAACTGTGGATTGAACCTGACCATAATTAGGCTGAATATCTGTGGGGTCAGACCAGCATTTTACACAGGTAACTACAAAAATAGGAAGATTACAAAAATATAATATATTATGTCACTATTTCGGTTTCTCTTTGTAATAGAGTATCGTATGAGTAGTACATTGGCCTTTCCCAACAATGCTAAGCTCGAACCCTACAAATGCCTTATGCACAGGCAATCCACAGGCACAAAAAAAGATTAACATATAATAATGCTGCATACTAACATACACTAACTTATGGGTTACGTTAACCATTTATAAGGTGAAGAGGATAAAAAAAACCTAAGGAAATAAAATAAACATTTACAGATGAATTATAAAGTGACTAAATGCATAAGCAAGCAAGATACAGAAAAGCCTAGAACTGCGTTAAAGCTATGCTTTTTAAAAGAAAAAAAAAGAATATTTCATTTACTATCTAAAAAAAAAAAACCCTCTTCTACTTTAAAAATGGTTGGTTGGTTGATTTTATATGTAAGAAATCAAATCTAATACCTCCCCTGGAGACATTTTGTGTGTTAATGCCTATTTTTACAACATACAGACAAGAACACTTTAATATAAAAACTAGTTGATTATTATTGTATAAAATCCTCTATTTTTGTAGCACAAACCCCTGGGGGTAATGCAAATACTATTTTTTTCTTTTTTTAAGACAGTTTTTGGGGTATTTTTTGTTTATTTGTTTGTTTGAAGTCACAGATGGAAGGGAGACAGAGCAAGAAAAAATATAACAAGACTGGTTTTCCCTTCTGGTATAAAAATGTCCTGGAGAAAAGGGTTTCTGGGGGGGAGATCCCGATGCTGATTCCTTCTCAGATGCCCTTTCTTTGTCTGCTTTTCTCGCCAAGCAAACCCATTAGAAGAAGTCCTCTTAAATGTTCACATCTCGCACATCAGTAGGTGTGCAGGAAAGGTCTGCTTCATCCTCTACAGTCTTTGTTTCTGAAGATACATTGTGCTGCTGTGCCTGACGTAGACTGGATTCAAGGAGGGATTCAATCTGTTCTTGGCAGGCTCGTAAACAATCCTAGAGAAGATTAAATGGAAGGAGAAAAAGACCCAAAGTCCTTTAGAAAAATAGTAAGATCACAGACCAAATACCATTTCTTGAAAAAGCAAGAGAAATATAGACAAGTTATTTGGGAGGGCAGCAGACTGAAAGGACTGTGGGAAGAGCAAGAGGAACACTGAATAGTGAATGGATTGGACGAGCTACCCCATTTTCTGCAGGATGCTAGCCTGGGTCCAGACTTCAGCAACTAACCCTTACCATCTTCTATTTAATGGCCTAGGTGAGCATCTCCATACATGGTCCTCTGGACAAACCAAGACTGCCGTTTTGTTGTTAGTCTCAGCCCATAGGTCTACAACTGAATATGATGAACGCTCCACTGCAGTGACACGCGTAGTAACTAAGCCGGGCAGGACCTTGACACAAGATGTTGTAGCTTGCACTACTACTTTTCTGCCTGTGCTGTTAACACTTCAGCAGTTCTGTAAAAGTCCATCCATCCTATCTTTTACCTCACTGTCCTTTATACCTTTTGAAAAATAGGAACAGTCTGACTGGACAGCAGTGTGAAGCAATCAAAATTAAATGAGTGGAGTTGCAAAGATATGAAACTGGGCTGGAGTCAAGAGTTGATCCAAGTATTGCTGATGCTGTAATGATTTCTACTTTTACCACAGAAACACTTCCGCAGCACAGTCTATTAGAAGCGATGGTCATAAACAATGATTTTCCCAGGCCGAGTTCCGATAATACAAAGTTCTTAGATGGAAGTGCCATATATATGTTTAGATGTACATGCCCAAAGTTGCCTGCCAACTGCTGCGATGGCCAGCAGTGGGCAGCTCAAGTTAGCTAACTGATTTCTAACTCAGAAAGCATCTGAACAGAAAAATGAACCAGACTGTACGACCCCAAAATGGAGAGATCTTTCAGAAGCACCACTAAGCACCTTCGTAACCATGCATTACAAAGTGCTGCCAAGCATTCACCTTGAAATCTCTGTCAGGGTGAGATCTCTTTCC